GATGCCAGTACAAAATAGGTAGAGTTGATGAAACCAAGGCTGGAGTTTTGGCAGGTAAAAGACAGGTAAGGGTAGAGTTTTGCAAGAGTGATTATTGTTAATGGGCAGATGGTAGAATCCAAGCCAGATAAGGGAAGTCATAAAAGACTGAAATGAAAAAATAGTGAGGCCAAAGGATAGAAGTCCAATGGGTTTGAAGGATTTTAGAGCTGTAAAAATAGAAGGCAGAAATACAATATGATTGAAAACAAGATTTCAGAGGTGTGTGTTTATCTGGTGAATACAACGTCTAGGTCTTAAACTGTAAGTGGGTTGCTGAGATGAGGTGGAGAATACATGCATTGCAGATGAGTAAGTCAGGGACCTGCAAAAGAAAAGTTATTGGAGATTAAGTCTTAAGAATGTTCTAAGTAGCGGAATGCAGTTAGCATGGTGCTGTAGTCTGCAGTGAGAAAGAGGAAGTAACCAGGAGATGGGTTGGGTCAGGCATTCTAGGTTAGAGGTTCTCAGGTAGGGGCATTTTGCCTAACAGGGAACATCTGACCATGTCTGGAGTCATTTTTGGCAATCACAACTGGGGATGGAGAGTGTGTGTACCATGTACCAGTGGCATCTAGTGAATAGTGTTCAGGGATGCTTCTAAACACACTGTAATGCAGAGGACAGCTCTCACAACAGAGAATTATCTGGTCCAAAATATTAATAGATGCTGAGGTTGAGAAACCCTTCTTTAGGTGTTAAGTATCAGAAAATTAAAGTATGATGGTTGAAAAGTGGACTGAGAACTATCCATCTAGTAAATATTGTTTCTATTTTAATTGAAGTTTCTCATGGAAAAAAGTATACATTAACAATAAACATTTATTCACTAACTAAATAAACCATTTTTTTTTTGCATTCCTAATTAATGGTACAACACTCTTCTAGGTGTTTTAGATTCATTCGTGAGCACAACAAAGATCTCTGACCGGGAATAGCTTTTACTAATGCAGGGAGGAGAGAAATTAGTTTTTAGAAAGTGGTGCTTAAAAAGGAAAGTAGAGCGGATAATATTGGGAGTATTGGGAGGACAAAGAAAGACGGGTTGCAATTCTAAATATGAGGGTGTCAAAGTAGGCTTCACTGAGGTGACATCTGAATAAAGATTTAAGATGTGAAAGGATAGAATGGAAATATGTTGATCTGAAAGTATAGTTTGGATTTGCGTTCACTTTAGAGGGAAGGGAACAAGTTTAAGTCTACCTTGCAGGAGTGAAGTGGACTGCACTAAATACCGCGAGGGACACGAAGTTAGATCCGACAGTTTCTGCCCTCACAGACCTTAATGATGAACTAACAATCTTGGAAATAACAGCAACAAAAATGGCAAACACAATGACTGGCCTATGCTACTTGTTCCTGTTTTGATCCCTTTTCATTTGGGAAACGACAGTTAATGATTAGTCAGTATTTTCCACTCATCTTCCACATTTGCTTCTTGGAAAACAGTAACCTATGTTACACAGTGAAATGAAGACAAGAGGTTATGACAATGGGTTTCCAGTAGAGGATCACCAATGGTGGGTCAGATAAATGGAAAGAAAGGTTGAATTTGCAAAAGGGGCTGACGATTTGGAAGAAAGGCTTTTATCTTCATTAGTCTTCCTTCTTGACGATTAGTAATTTTCAGTATCTGAAGCTCAAGTTTCTCATTAGTACTCTCTGCCTCTCAGGTATGGCAACAGCACTAGGAACTATGCTGTTCGGGTTGGCGATTATCATACTCTGGTACCAGAGGAGTTTGAGGAAGAAATTGGAGTTCAAGAGATTGTGATTCATCGGGAATATCGACCTGACAGCAGTGATTATGACATAGCCCTGGTTAGATTACAAGGACCAGAAGAGCAATGTGCCAGATTCAACAGCCACGTTTTGCCAGCCTGTTTACCACTCTGGAGAGAGAGGCCACAGAAAACAGCATCCAATTGTTACATAACAGGATGGGGAGACACAGGTAATGCACAATCAAGAAACAAAAAAACAAAGCAGGGCACCTTTTTTGTCTGGTATTATCCACTTATTTGGGCCTGTAATGGGTAAGATCTTAAATGGGTTCAGGCTTATTTGGAGAAATTCTGCTTAGTGTGAAATGCATGCATGTAGTTGAGATTCATATTCCGGAGGTATTGCTGGTTCTGAGAACTGATAACTCACTCTCTTCATAAACCGGGAATTCAAATTCAGTGAAGTAAATGAGTATGAATGGATGTGCTAATGTAAAACCAGCATTAATGCATTCTATGCTTTTAAATATACAGAATTCAAATATGAAAGCCTGCACAAATGTGCTTTCTTTAGGTTACCTTCCTCCACAGACAAATCCAAATGTTATTCATTATTCCTCAGTTCAGTACTGAGAAGTAAATTTGTAGAGGTTAAGATTGTGTCACCGTTAAAAAAGGCAGCTAACAATAGTACGTACCATCTAGTCATTGCTCATTTTAAACACTGATGCCACAACAAGGATTTTATTTTCATTACTATTACATGCTAACTGTTAAAATGTCCCGATGGTTAGCTCAAATGCCACTAATCAGATGTTTGGTTTGAGTAGGACAAGCCTATTCAAGAACACTACAACAAGCAGCCATACACTTACTTCCTAAGAGGTTTTGTGAAGAACGTTATAAGGGTCGGTTTACAGGGAGAATGCTCTGTGCTGGAAACCTCCATGAACACAAACACGTGGACAGCTGCCAGGGAGACAGCGGAGGACCACTAATGTGTGAACGGCCTGGAGAGAGCTGGGTGGTGTATGGAGTGACCTCCTGGGGGTATGGCTGTGGAGTCAAGGATTCTCCTGGCGTTTATACCAAAGTCTCAGCCTTTGTACCTTGGATAAAAAGTGTCACCAAACTGTAATTCATGGAAACCTCAAAGAAGCATTTAAACAGATGGAAAACTTTGAACCCCCGCTATTAGCACTCAGCAGAGATAACAAATGGGGACTGAGATCTGTGTTTTTGTTTTGTGCTTAAAAAATTGTGTACCCCTTGCTGCTTATGGGAATTTGTATTGTGAATATTTTCAGAGACCTCATTGTAGTGGAATAGTGATAACCCTTAAATGAGCATCGTTGTCTACCCAAATTTCACCGGAGTTACTTATTCTAAGTCTCACCTATCCGTGCCTGTTTTCTCAAAATCATTCTGTGCTGATTTCACAAAAGGTCATTTTTACATTTTAATTGAGACCCCCTTATAATTGAATCAGTGGTATCTGAATTCATATTACCCACATTTGACATAAACACCATTTACTACAATCAGAAGAGTGCAGTATTTATGCTTAGATCTTTTCAAAAGACTTGACAAGAAATATTCATTTTCTCTGTATCCTTTGTCAAGTGAGGAAATCAATGGTTAAGGAATTCCATTATGAACTTTCAGGTCTGAATAGGATTACTAAGCCTCAAGGACATTTGCCTGTCACAACACTCTCAAAAGTGATCTGGTATTTGGAAGCCAGTATCCTTAAGTACCAAGTGCTACAGAAACCATAAAATATTTTCTGCCTACAGTGTATAAACTACTAGCAAAATTTGAAAGGATTTCTGGTTCACAAAGTGCCAGTTGGACATACAACCTAGTTTATCCAACACATTAACGTTATCTACTAATTTTTATCAAGCACTTCAGATTTAATTCAGAATTGGTCTAAGAGTGCCACCTACTGACACTTTCTTGTAATTGACTTGGAGACCAACCTGATACAATCCAGTCTCATATACTAGTCAAAATGCTTTCCTGGCGTTTATGTTGGAATAGTAGTGGCTTTAAATTGTCTTAATGCATACGCAGTTATCTGCCAGGCACTACATTAGATGGCTATGCACATCACTGACAATTTGCAAAAGGCCAGTAGGATCTTACAGCAGTAGCCCTAGTTTTCAAATAGGGGAAAACAGACTTACCTCAAAGTGAGACCAGTTGGTAAAACACTGATTCATAACTCCAGAAAAAGGAGTCCCAATGCTGGATTTTTTTCCCCATGGTTCTCCCACCTAAAGGATTGTTTTCCTATGGCTATTTATGGGTTAAGGGATAACTGCTTAACCGTTAGAGAATTAAACTATGCACTTTTATAGGACATTCTCGGCAGTAATGCTCATATTTAAAAGGCACACTCAAGATACTTCAATGTCATGGATACTTCCGCAGGTCCCTAGTATAAAGAGGTTAGCATGAACTTGCAGATGGTTTTAAGTAATCCTCTTGAATGCCAGTCACGTAAGGACTTTACCCTTCTACATCAAATCACATCCTTTTCACAAATCCCCATTTCTGTAATAAGTGGTGCAAACCAAAAGGTGCTTTATAGTTTAACTACTTTGCAGATTTGCAACGCTGCATATAATGCAGAAGAGCATTAAAAACTTTTGTAAAAACTTAAGGATTCTGATAAACTTTTAGAGCAGCATTTCCATGTAAATAGAGCTACACATGGCACACACTTGCACAAGGGCTTGGGAAAAACGTGCAATATAGGTGAGAAATAAGTCTACTGAAACTTTCTCACAGGCTGCCCTTGTAATTAAACTACAGGTGCTGGTGCAAGCAACATCTGTTTCAAGTCAGCCAGGGACTAAACCTAAAAGGCAGTGAACAGCCTGCAGTTTACTCATCCCTGAATACATGGTTCATATAGCATGCTTTTATTATAACCAACTGTCTTAAGTTTGACTTTTGAAAGATACAAGTGTTCTGTGCATCTTTGTGTAAATAAAGTACATACTTTTTCACCTTGTATAGCTGCTTTAATTTTTTCTGTGGTTTAGAAAGACTCTGCTCTCTCCCTTGGGGGTAACCTAGTCCTTTTTTGTCTTTTACATTTTTCACAAAGGTTGCAATAACCTTAGTGTGTACTCATTCACACTACTTCCACATGAGTGGGTAACATTAGGAAGTATTCTGCTTGCTATACCTTTCCGTCTATCAATCACTCAGTCAAGTAACAATGAGTAGCCACATAAAATTATGCATTTTATTTAAGGACCACCTTAAAAATTAACGTTAAACAATTCAGGCCTATATTGAAAATGGGCATCCTGATAACTTCCACAACATCATTCGAAACATCCGTTTCCCCAACTAAGATAAATCCACTGCAGGACGCTGAATAGACTTCACCCATTACCAGTTTTGATTCCTCGAGTCTGCAAAAAGAGAAAAAAAAAAATATTATGAAACCCAGACCTGTGTACTTACCTCACTGTTTTGAGATCTTACCAGTTAATTCAGTTTGCTGTTCACTGTTAAACTACAAAAGCCAGCAGAACGGGCTAACTTTAGCATTCCACCGTCCTAACACTAAGGCATTTCAGATTAACTAAGGAATATGAAAAAAGAATATAAAAATGTACCTGTTTCCATCATCCATCGTAATGAGTTCGGTTCAGCTTCCTAGAACAATTTAACAACAGTTTAGAAAAGTCTGCCTAATAACCCGGCACCCTACAGGTTTTTAACGGTGAAGAATGTTACTTGTGCAAGTCAGAATCTGATACCAATTAAATGGTGACAGCTTTGCCAATAAACAAGAATATGCTCTTCCATGGCTAGGAAGGGAGGCTGCCACAGCTGACAGGTCCCAAAGATACATGGAGATTCACAATCCAGTTAACCAGCAAGCAACCTGCCACAGATTATCCTACTCACCATCTGGTGCAAACTGACGGTTCTCGAGGTGCTAAGGCACGAAGAGCGACTAGACTCAAGTTGGCCACATGACACCGACGGCCAAACACGCTTCGCCGGAGTCCCCGGGTGCACGGCCCACGCGCGCCCGGGTTCAGGGTCCCGGGCTGCACGTGGCCACCCCGAGACCTAATGAGCACTCACGTCCGCGCATGCTTGTAAACCTAAGGGTTTCCAAAGCTGTCCCCGACCTACCAATATCCCGACGGCGCTGCCTTTCAGGTAAGGCTGTACGTTTTGGCCCAATTATCATTTTAATTTACAAAAGGCAACTGCGTGCCTTCACCTAACCCCGACGTTTCCCGAAAGTGAAAGGCCGAGGCCTTCCGCCTCGCTCTCTTATAGAACTGATGACGCTATTCCGGGGGAAGCGCAGCAAGGGGCGGGGCCTACGTTGTTTCCCCTCCTCGCCCCGCCCAGCCCCCCCGCGGCGCCTCCGGTGACTTCCGCCACCTCCTCGGCTGCCCCCTTCTCTTGGCTTCTTTCTCCCCTCCCCTGCCCGTCACCTCAGGCTGAGCCGGTCTCCGGCGCCAGATCCTGACGCATGCGCACACGGAAGTCCGAAGGTTCTCGCGATACCGAAAAACCTGACGCTTACTCTCGTGGGTCACGGAAGCGAGGGGGAAAATTGTGGCGTTTCCTGTTTAGGATACTTCTGTTAGAGGATGTTAGCAAAAGCGGCCGGACGCAGTGGCTCACGCCTGTGATCCCAGCACTTTGGGAGGTCGAGGCGGGCAGATTACTTGAAGTCGGGAGTTCGAGACCAGCCTGGCCAACATGGCGAAACCCCATCTTTACTAAAAACACAAAAATTAGCCGGGTGTGATGGTGAACACCTGTAGTCCCGGATACTCGGATGGTTGAGGCGGGAGGATCGCTTGAGCCTGGGAGGCGGAGGTTGCGGTGAGCAGAGATCGCGCCACTGCACTCCAGCCTGGGCGACAGAACGAGAATCCGTCTCGAAACAATAATGGAAAAGGAAAGGATGTTAGACCCTTTGAGCCTAGGTGACACACCCGGTTTTGGGCGCGTGTGTACTTTTTTCACGTTGCAATCTGACCCTGACCCGCAGTTTGTTGCTCACATCTGGGCGCCCTTGGACTCCAGAAAGCGGAACGCCTCAGTCTTAACGCACCCGCTGTACATTGCCTGGAGGATGCGATGAAATAGAGCTACCGCCTTTGGAAAGTGGAATTTCCAACCTTTGGGAATAGTCTTATTAGATACGTGCTTTTAAAAGAACGCTAAATTTCTTTTCTGTTTTCTCTTTCCTCCTGTATGAAATAAAGCAGGTGAAGTTTTTAACTTAGTGCTGGATCATTTGGAGCAGCACGTTGTAGCAATTGCTGTCAAGGAAAAAGGTATCAAGACGGGTGAATAAAGTACAGTGGAGCGCTACAAAAACTTCCTGAAGTCATTACATACTTTTTTGAGTAAAGAATTAGAGCAGTAACTGCCGTAAGGGTTGGAATGGACAAGCTTATAGGAGACAAATTTTTGTTTGAGATAATGGAGCTGCTTCCAAGGCTCACCATATTTCACCCCATCTTACTTTGTCTCCTTACTTCACTCCCATTCATTCCGCTTGTGAACCGAAAAGAACTATTCAATAACAAGGCTTGTGTACTGAATCACAGGAGAGTGTTCTGCCAAGTTACATTTTATTGAAATCCAAATAATTATCAATATTAATTTGCTGGGACTGTCATAACAAAACACCACAGACCGGGTGGCTTAAACATCAAAAACTTGTCACAATTCTGTAGGTTGGAAGTCTGAGATTAAGGTGTCATTAACTTGTTTCTTCTGAGGCCTCTCTCCTTGGCATTGTGTATGACAGTGTTTTCCTGGTATCTTCATATCGTTTTCTTTTTGAACCTGTCTCAATTGCCTCTTCTTAAAAGAACACTGGCCGAATTGGATTAGGGCCCACCCTGATGAACTCATTCAAACTTGATTACCTCTTTAAAGACCCCATCTCCAAATACAGTCATATACAGAGGTACTGAGGATAAGGGCTTCCACATATGAAATTTGGGAAGCACAGTTCGGCCCATAACACCTTTCATTTATGCTAAGCTAAAAAGTCTGATCGAAGATTTGAAATTAATGTTTCCAATGGCATAAGGCACATGCATGCAGGCCTGTGTGCACCGTGTGTTCTGGCCTTTAACTAGAACTTTGTGTTTTGTCTGAAACTGGACTTTAGAAAATCTGTTCTTTTCTACTCCCCCCCTCCCCCCCCCCCAATGTGAAACCCCCCCACCCAACACTTTGTGTGGTTTTTTTTTTGTGGGGGGGGGGGGGGGAAAAAAAAACATTTTGGGGGGGGGCTGCTCCCCCCACCCCTTTCAGTTTTTTCCCCCCCCACCCACCCCAGAAAAAAAAAAAACCCAAAAGGGGGCCCCGGGTGGCCGTCCGCCCCTTTTCGCCCGCCCCCCGCCACCCCCCCCCCCAAAAAGTTAAAAAAAAACCAAAAAAAAAACCCCCTTTTCTTTTTCCAATCCCCGCCCAAATGTGGGGGGGGGGGGGGGGGGGGGGTGTAAAAAGGGGGAAAAAAAAAAAAAAAAGGTTTTGGGGGGGGGGGGGGGGCCCCCCCCACCCCCCTTCATTTTTTTTTTTTTTTTTGGGGTGGGGGTGGGGGGGTCCCCCGTCCAAGAAAAAAAAAAAAAAAAAAAAAAAAAAAAAAAAAAAAAAAAAAAAAAAAAAAAAAAAACGCCAAAAAAAGGTTTCCGCCCAGCCACCCAGCCGGGAAAAAAAAACAAAAAAAATTGGGGGGACAAAAAAAAATGGGAAAAGGGGGGGGGGGAAAAAAAAAAAAAAAAAAGGGGGGGGGGGAAAAAAGGGCCCCGCCCCCCCGGCACCCCCCCGCGCGCCCCCAGCCCCCCGCGCCGGGGCCCCCCCACCCCACCCGCGCGTGTGAAAAAAGGAACCCCCCCCCCGCCCCCCCCCCACCCTACCCCCCCCGCCCCCCGATTTTTTTGTGTGGGGGGGGTCCCGCCCCCCCGCCTTGTTCAAGGGGAGGTTTTTTAAAAAAAAAGTTTAAAAAAAAAAACCGGAAAAAAAGGGGGGGGGGGGTAAACAAAGTTGACAAAAAAAAAGGTGGTCCCCCCCCCCCCCCCGCGCCCCCCCCGACCCGGCCTCCGCCCCGCCGCGCTCTTCCCCCCCAGTCAAAGAAAAAAAAAAAAAAAAAAAAAAAAAAAAAAAACCCCCTTTTTTTTTTTTTGGTGTCTGTTTTTTTTTGGGGGGGGGGGGGTGGTTTTTTGAAAAAAAAAAAAAAAAAGAGCCGGAAAAAAAAAAAAAAAAAAAAAAAAAGTCCGCCCGCCCACCCCCCCGGGGGTATGGGGGGGGGGGGAAAAACCCCAATCCCCCCACCGTAACGGCAAAAAACAATTGTTTTTTTTTTTTTGAAAATTGGAAAAAAGGAAAGAAAGAACATCTTCCCAGGGCCCGCTTCCCTCCCGCCCGGCCCCCCGGTGCACAGCTCAAAAAAGCAAAGAGTTCCCCGTCAAGAATTAAGGCCCCTCCGCCCGCGCCCTCCGGGACTTAAAAAAAGCCCCGCCAAATGAAGGAAAAAAAGGAGTGGTTTGTCTCAACATGGGAAAAAAAAAACAAATTATTTTTTTTTTTTGTTGGTATTGTTAAGGGCCATTTTTACAAAATATTTTTCAAGCTTTTAACCCAGTAAAGCTTCCAGCACTCCCCCGCGCCCGCCGGCCCCCCAAATAGAAAAATAAAAGTTAAAATTTTGGTGTTTGTTTTTCCGCCCCCGGCCGCCGCCTTTTTTTTTTTTTTTTTTTGGTTTTTTTCAAGCAATTAAAAACAAAGGACAAAAGGTTCCCCCTCCCCCCTTGTAAAGAAAAACCCTATTTTTTTTTTTTTTTTTTTTTTTTTTTTTTTTTAATACCGTGGCTAGAAGACGAAAGTTGGAAATACCATTTAATTGTTTTTGTTTTGAATTTTAATATTTTGGTTGTGTTAAATTTTTTAGTTTTTTTGGTTTTAAAACCCCTTCACCCCCGCCCGGCCCCCCCGCCCCGCTGGGGGGAAACCGCTTGGGGGGGGGGGGGAATCTTTTTTTTTTGCCCCCAAGTTAATAAAAAAGGGGCCGCCGCATTTTGTCATTAAATGGGAAAAGGTCTTTGGGGGGAGGGAAATCCGGCTTGGAAAAAAAAATTTAATAAGGTGGATAATTTGTTTTGTTTTTTTGTTTTAGTTTTTTTAATTTTTTTGGGGCGCCCGCCCCCGACCTTTTTTTGTTTTTTTTTGGGATTTTTTTTTTTTTGTGGGGGAACCCCCAGTAAGATGTAAACGGCCCAATTAAGTTTTTTTCAATTTTTTGTGTTTTTTTTGAACATTTGTTTTTTTTAAAAACGCCAGAAAGTTTTTTTTTAGGGGGAAAATTTTTTTTTTTTTTTGGTTTGGGATTTTTTTTTGTGGTAGGGTTTTTTTTAATTAGGTGTTTTTTTTTGGTTGGGGGTGGGCCCGCCTTTTGTTTTTTGCGCCGCCGCCCCCCGGGCGTCCTGCCTCGCGCGGCCCAAAATGAAAACCATTTTTGCGCACCGCTGGCTTTTTTTTTTTTTTTTTTGTTTTTTTTTTTTTTGGTGCGCCCCTTGTTAAATTTGTAAAAAAAAAACCCAAAGGCCGCGGGCGCTCTTTTAACCGTTTGTTGGGGGGGGGGGGGGGGAGAGGGGGGAAAGAAAAGGGGCCGCCAAAATTTTAAATAACCTTTTTTTTTACAAGTCCTTTGTTTTTTTATTGGTTTACAAAGCCGCTAAGGAAAACGCCCAAAGGTTTGTTAAAAGTTTTTTTTTGGGAAATTTTTTTTTTTTTTTGTTGTTTTTTTTTTTTTTTGTAGAGTAAAGTTGGGTTTGGTTGTTTTTTTTTCCCCTTTGGGTTTCCCCCCCGCCCGTTTTTGGGTCCCCCCGCCGCGCCCTTTTTTGTTTATTTTTTTTTTAGTTTTTTTTTGTGTCTGTGCGGACATTTTTTGGTTTTTTTTTGTTGTGTTTTGTTTTTTTTTTTTTTTTGGGGGCGCGAGGCCCTTTGGAAGATTTGGGAAAATAAAAAACAGGTTTTTACTTTTTATTGGGGGCTTATGTTTTTTTTTTATAGATTTTTTTTTTTTTTTTAGAGCTTTTTTTTTTTTTTTTGGGAGTATGCAAGACCCTTCCCGCCCCCACCCCCAGTTTTTTGGAAAAAATTTTTTAGCCTTGTATTTTTTTTTTTTTTTTTTTTTGCGGCAACGGGCTAAGGCTTTTTTTTTTTTTTTTTTTTTGTTTTTTTTTTTTTTTTTGAAAGGCGCCCCCCCCCCCGCCCTCCCGCTCCCGCC